AGGACGCACGCTTGTCGGTACCCGTTGCCCTGGACTGCCGAAGTTTTCCTCCGATTCCGATGGTGAGGACAAACATGGCAGTTTACGACTCCGTGGTGCTCGCAAACCTACTGTAACCAGTGAGGGCACACATCCGTAAATTTGGGCGTGCGATGCCTCGTATACCTGGAAGACTTGCTGATTCTTTACGAATCCAGGCTACATTTGCAGACAAATTTGTCGTTCACTTTCGGGACTCCATGGATTTTTCGTTGTACACAGACAAAGATCGCTTCTCCATCTGAATCGGGCCAGTTCCTCAGTTTCGACATCGGCTTGGAGAACTACGTTCCGCGTCCGTCTACGGCAAAGAGCGCCTCTATAAGGATAGCTGTCGGATTGTGGGATTTCTCCTCCTCCTCCATACAAGCGTTATTCCCTGGCCCACTACGACTGATGGTGAGATACGTACGCACCGGTCACTCATACGACCACTGGATCCCACTGTCAACGGAAGTGAGGATGGAATTTCGATGGTGATTACTTCACATACAAACTTGGATTGGCAAAACGACCTTTGACTCTTCCTTCGGATACGGGGCGATGGATGAACCCCTGCAAACGCGACCCAGCCGTTCTCCACAATAGCAAGGGTGCTTCGATACACACACACACCCACAGGATATCGCTCCTGCTCATGACACCCCTCGGGCAGGGCCAACCGTGATTTCCAGGATCGCCTGGAGATGTCTCGCGAAGACCCTCTACTACTCCCTACCTTCCCTCTACTTCTGACGGGACCTCGAGGGGAAGCCCACTCCCTTGTCATGGAAGGACAACTGGCACTAGTTGCCTGGACGGCTTCAGGGGCTCCTGGTCAGATCACGACCTATTGCATCAACTAAGACCTCCTATGGGACTCATAGGCTCCCGGCACCAGGAAAGGCTATATTTCTGCCTGGTCGGCCTGGAGTGATTGGTGTGTGGAAAGGGATTCCGATCCTTTTACCGCACCTGTCCCACTGATCCCCAACTATCTGTCACACCTGGCCTCGTTGGGTCGGTCATATCGATCCCTCAACATGATCAGATCCGCCATGTCGGCGGCGCACGTTCCGGTACAGGGCAGACCAGTAGGTCAAGATACACTGGTTTGTCGACTACTGCGGGGTGCCGAATTGTCGAGATCCCTGCACCCAAATATTCACGCCTCTGGCAGGTGGATGTGGTGCTGAGATTCCTTAGGGAATGGCCGGACAATCCTTGTTTGTCACTGAAGCAACTTTCAGCCAAACTAGCCTTCTTATTATGCCTCGCCTCATTTAGACGGTGGCGGACGTTAGGGCTTGCGATATGGATGTTTTCTCTCTCACACCAGACGGGGTTACCTTTACCATGTCGAGACGAACTAAGTCGGATTCGTCTTCAGTGTCATACCCATGCTTTGTGTCAGACGCCACACTATGCGTGGTCAGAACGCTGATGGGGTACACCAATATCTCTACCCCTTCGAACTCATTCGATGGATCACCTTCTGACTTCTTATGTAAACCCTCATGGACCGGTGTCTACCGCAACACTGGCCAGATGGGTCCGCTGGTTTTTGTCTTTAGCGTCGAACCTTGTTTCGGAGCCCACTCGGTCAGGGGAGCAGCGGCCTCACAAACCTTTTCGACCGACGCTTCCCTAGCCGACATTATACACTGCGCGGACTGAGCGCGAGAGAGTATGTTTAGAACATTCTATTTTCGGCAAACATCTCATGCTTCCTTCACATTGGTCAATTCAAAGCTTTAAAAATGCAAATATGAAGCCTCCTGTCATGTGGTAAAATAGAAGATTATTTTAGCTTTAGTGTACTAATAATCTTAATTTTAGTAATGACAGGAGGCGAATATTTCCCACCCTATAGGATCCCTCCCATGTTTCTCGTGTTGAACAGAATATGTCCTTTATGTTCAGGAAGGTAAGTACGTATGGTTTGTATGTTTGCTACTTAGACCTGTATCTTGTGGGTCTTGTATTGGCTGAATATTAGGCATGAACCTTGCATTATGTTGTGTTTATAGATTCTTAAATATCATTGTGTTAGAATAAATATATATTGATATGTTTCACATTCTAATGTTCGTTGGTATATCAGATGCTTAATGCTTATTGTATGTGGACAAGTTATCACGCCAGATACCTTTCACCTTTTTCTTTTTCTTGCAGCGTGAACGTCTTCTCATCGAGACAAAGATTCACCTTCCATACCTCTGCATCGCGGAACTAATGGAGTTGGATATTCTAATATGTTGTTGAACTGTTGACGTAATATGATTGTCTCTTGTTGTTATTTATTGTTTCGCTTCAAAGAAAGAGGAAGTGATGTCATAGACAGGGCCTTTTATGGGCATCATAACTTTTTTCTGATTGGTTGTTATGTTTCTATGCTGCTGGAGTTTTCAGTAAAGAAAGATATGCAAATATTCGCCTCCTGTCATTACTAAAATTAAGATTATTAGTACACTAAAGCTAATATAATCTTCAATTGCCTCCTACTGATCCTGTGATTCCCTTCTTTAAAATCAAAACATAACCCTAAGATATGTTTCTGTTTTATACATATTAACAGGATAATATACTTTGATATACTGCTTGACTAATTGTAATCTTTAAAATATTGAAACATGTTATTCTTATGAAATGTTGTATCCAGTAATACTGTCTTAATTAATGAAAAACAATTTATTGAAAAAACATATTTTATATTATAGGTTTCAAATTCTTCACACATCAATTTTTTTCCATTGCCAATTTGCCTCAAACCCCACTATCTCCTACAAATGCAACTTTTTAAGAAAAATGTAATGTTTTTCTATTGCTTTTGCACCGGAATATGTCATTATATATTGCATTCTCTGCATCTACCCCTCTATCTTTTCATAATTGTAAGTGTCAGATTAGAAAAATCAGATTCATGTTACTGCAAGAAGACTGAAAGAATTTGAAATAAATAGATTGTTTATACTCACAAGTTTGTTTTGTAAAGTGTGTGTATTTCACATTGTACAGGCGGAAGAAGACAGGGTAAAATCATGGGAAAATCTGAATACAACCCACACCTTGTATCTGGCAGTTTGTGTACTGAAGTTCGAAGTTTATTCACAGAACATCGAAAGTGAAATATAAATGAAGCAAACTGCAAGAATCCGTCAAAATAGCCAAGATGATTTGGAGATTTTATCCCAATTTATCTATTTCACCCTTTTTTTAATTTATGTTTGCAGTTCACATTTTGATGTGTTATGAATAAACTAACGTCATTCAGGGTGTATCTGCTGGAGATATGTAGTATTTTTTAAGTTGTTCTTGGTATAAATTTAACCTCTAGGTGGCACCGTGGTAAAATGAAAAAACATGCTTATCCCAAAGAATGCTAATTGTACCTATTAATACTCATCATTATGCATTACAAGCACCTTCTTCTATTCAGATTAAATAAAATCATTAAAATACATAATGTCAATGCTTATATATTTCTTTAAAAGGGAGGATAGGTAGCAGGTCCTTTATCAATCTTTTATATCACAAAATGTTGTTATATTAGTGATTTATTCGATAGAAAGAATTACAAAATTTAGGCAAAAATAATCTAGCTATAACTATAAGTGAAGACTTGTTCCAAATTAGAATTTCATGCCTAAATTGTTCTAGAATTCAGTGTTTACGGAATAAACCACTATGAACATGAACAAGGCTGTGTGGGAGGGAATTCATTTGCTACCATTTATTTATAAATGACATATGGAGGCAACGTAACTGAGCAGACTTGCCATTATTTATTTATTTATAAAATATTTTACCAGGAAAGATACATTGCGATTTCTCTTGTTTTCAAGCATAGGACACCCAGGACGGGTCCACAAAACATTGCATTAATACAATAGGGTACATTAAAATACAAAAACAATATTAATACACAATATATACAAAATGTAACATAGAACAGGCAGGAAATATATAATCAACCATGACAGGTGCATTCTGTTTTGAGATATGTAGAGAGGAATCTCTTAAAGTATTTTAGACCTGGGGAAGATTTGAAAGTGTGTGGGAGATTGTTCCATAATTGCGGTGCTCTGTAGGAAAAGGAGTATCGGGCTACTTTCTTTTTGTATTGAGGTAGACTAAATAAAATGCTGGTACTGGATCGGAGGTTATAGGAGGTGGGAACAGCCGAGGAGAGCATTCTGCTCAGGTAGGGTGGGAGCTTCCCAGAAAAGCTCTTAAACACAAGCAAGATAAAATCTAAATATAAGGTAATCAACAAAAAGCCACTGATTTCTATGATAATTGATTCATTATATAGCATTTATATAAAATTATGTAAAACTGCAAACTGCAGACCCTCACTTGTTGTAAAACTAAAAATCCCATGATTCTTTATTAGCTGCGGCTTTTCCTTTCAGTTGTCATAGAAATCTGTTTTTTTTTTCGTTGATTACTTTATATTTAGATTATATCTTACATGTGTATCAGTATACCTAGGGAAACTGCAGATCAAATGACCTGACATTTCACCATTCTGTTTCCTATGGTTGCCAAAACAGGGCAGTTTAAGTGTTAGTAGGCATTGCTGATGCTAGGGACAGGTTAACATTGGAACTATCATAGTGACAGCCAAGCCAAAAACAGAAACAAAGTAAACAAAGAAATGGACTGGGGCTACTAATGTGGCACTCAACACATTTTATACCGAAACTGACTTTTTACGTTTTTTAATAACTTCCCTATCGCCAATTAGCATTCACCTTGTACTGCACCTATTGGCCAGATTTTTTTGGGTAACATTGCAAAAGCACAAGATGAAGAACCCCTAGGCCACATGGACCAGTTTGTGTGTGTCTGTGTATGTATTAATAAGAAAAGATAAATATCTAGGCACACCTGGGGTATCTTCTAAAAGGCAGTCTTTTTATTTGGAACAAAAAAGTGGAGACAACGTTTCTGCTCCTCTCTGAGCCTTTATCAAGTCAAGAACAAAAAAGTGGAGAAAACGTTTCGGCTCCTCTCTGAGCCTTTGTCCAGTCAAGACTTCATAAAGGCTCAAAGAGGAGCCAAAACATTTTCTCCACTTTTTTCTTCCAAATAAACAGACTGCCTTTTAGAAGAAACCTCAGGTGTGTCTAGATGTTTATCTTTTCTTCCATATGACGTCTCCAAAGATTGGCCCTCCCTTTCTGGAGCACCCTGCAGAGGTGTGTGCCTAATTCTCTTGTTTTCTTGCAAATATGTGTTTGGATTTGTGTCATTGTATGTATCAGTGCATGTGTCAGTGTATGTATCTTTGCATGTCTGCCTGTGTATGTTTTACAAGGTAATAACAGGGAGCGGGAAATACATTTTTTCTAAAAATTAATTATATGCTTAAAAAATCCCCTATACAAACACTTTTCTCCCTATACACACATTACATCTCCTATACACAGACACATATAACCCTATACATCCCTGTACCCCCAATACACATACACTACACCCATAAAGACAAACTACCCACCACATACTATGCCCCTTATACAAAGAATCATACTGTACTCCATATACCCAAACACAACAGCCCCTATATGCACTATCACACAGTACAGACCATAAATACATACACACCCTACATCTCATCATACACCCATATAATGCAAACCCTAGACACATATACAGACACTGCAGTCCCTAGATGCAAAAACACTCTACAGCACCTATACACACATACACATACACACACACACACACAAAAAAAACACACACTACAGAGCTACTGTATATTCTACTGTCTGTAGACACACAATATCCACATGACATCTCTCCTGACACTTTATCTTTCAGGACTATATATCTTCACCTTAATGTGTAAGTATATTACTTTGACAATTGTTGTTTAATAGTATAAAATGATATTGCTTCCCTAATTTGGTACCCTGATGTGGGGTTCCCCTATTAAGGATGCCAATTTGGGCACTGTTTACTAGATGGCTCCACTAATTTGGTATCCTTATGTGGGATTGCCTATTTATGGATACCAAATTAGGACTCTGTTTAGTAGATTTTCTTTGGAAAAATTATTTTTTATGCTGTCATGCAGGACATGGAAAAGTGCTACACTTGGTGACTTTGAAAACAACTGCATTGGTCAGGCAGCACTTTTCAAACCCTGTACATTGGTTTGTTAAGATTTTGTATTCTATCCATATAAAGGAAAAGACAAGCCAATGACTTTATATAGAGTAGTGCTGTATTTAGCCCAAGGCAAACAAGGCAAACTAGGCATTTGCCTTGGGCAGCACTATCCAGGGGAAAGCAAAAATGCTGCCCCCTAAACGCCCGCTTGGACATTAAGAGGAAAAGGTGGGGCATAAAGAGGATGGGGTGGGTCTTAATCAGGTAGAGTTGTGGCCATGACAGAAAGGGGTGGAGTAAATTTAGATTAGGGGGATGCCAAGGTTAACTCATGCCTAGGGCAGCACAAAACCAAAATACACCACTGATATAGAGTCATATTACACCTTTATACAGAAGCATTGCAAAACTATGGACCTGCCTATGCCTCTTTCTTTTTAAAGGCTTAGGCTTGCCTTTGCCTTTATATGGAGATATATGCATGTCTGTGTTCTCCAATTTTTAAAGCAAGGGGAGAATAAAACTATTTTAAAACTTTGCACGGGGTAAAAATTGCCGTCCAACCCTACAGTGGCTTTAAAAGTTACAAAAAGAGCACTTTTTATGCCCTGCACAGCAATGTGAAAAAGAGTTTTTAAAAGAAAAAGGAGAATAAAATCTTTTGAATGATTTTCAAAGTCACCAAGAATAGCACTTTTCACATCCTATAACAACAACATAAACATTTTTTTAAACAATGCCCTAATTTAGTATCCTAATTAGTAGAACCACACATCAGTGTACCATGCTTTCTAATTTATTTATTTGGGGGTTTATAAAAATTGTAGGTTTTAAATGGTGGGGGTATTGGATGATGTGGGTTTGGCCAAAAAGGGGCGCAGTGAAGATTTTTCTCTCGGTGCGACTAAAGTCCTAAGGCTGGCCCTAACTCAATTTTCCCTGATGCAGCCTCCATTTTGATTCCATGCCTGCTGCATTGTTTAAGCTGGACTGTGTGAAAATGAAGAGACAGTGTCTGACAGCTCTCCCCCATCTCCATGCTTTGATTACATCCCTGCACTTTCTCCCCTGCAGCCTCTGAACCTCCCTGACTCCATGATTGGAGTCCCTCCCTCACTCTCTGCCCTACTGAGAGTTCTGCACTAATCCAAGCATCCAGGCAGGAATTGAAACCACTTTTCCCCAGCCAGGTAGGAATTTGTCTGATAATCTGCAAATAGAAATTGAGCTATAGTCTAAGCATGTAAGCTCATTGAGCAGGGCCCTCCACCCCTCTGCTCCTGTGTGTCCAACTTGTCTGGTTACAATTACATGTCTGTTCGTCCACCCATTGTACAGCACTACGGAATCTGATGGCGCTATATAAATAATAAAATAATGATAACATTGTTTAACAGTAACCAAAAATAGTAATGTCTTACCTTTAGCACTGCAATTTGTACTGACTATTTTCCCATGAGAGTCAGCCAGGTATTTAGCTGACTAAGTGTCTTGACAAAATATAATGTATTTGAACTGGGGGCATTAGGGTCAAAGAATAAATATTGTAACAACAAGAAATGTGTTTAAAATTTCCTTTTGTTGTTTTCAAGACTACTGTAGTGTCTCCTACCTCTGTGAGAACTAGATTTTGGTTGGGTTTTTTTTTGGGGGGGTTTTTTTGCCCCCCATGTTTTTGTCTACTATACGTATGTAGACATTGCTTTGAGCCTACATATGGATTTGGAAAATTGTGCATTGCAATTATCTGCAGGCAAGAGTGTTCATAAGGGTTCTTGTTTTTGTAGTCCTGAATTTGTAGTGTTTCAGACCTGGATGCCCCATAAGTTTATGTGATTTTACAACTCTGTATTTTTTTGTATATTTTCTCTTTTCGATTTAAATAAATACCTGATTACTTGTGATTTATATCAGTACAAGAGAACGCATAGTTCTATATATTTTTTTAACCAATTAAATTGTCAGCTGTGAAAATCATTATTTCCTAAAGTAATTGGTTTAACTTACTACTTTAAGTTTTAAACTATTTTAAAAATAGGAAAAATAAAAAAGATATCTAACATATTTCTTATGATGATTGATACAAAATTAAAAGAACTTTGACTTTACATAAAATAATGTTAGTATGCTTTTTTCTTGTAAGAGGACTGATTCAATAAAACTGATTAACCTTTTTAAAATTAATAATTAGCCTGTGAAGTATTGTTTTTAACATACCTTATATGCCTCACACTTCCTCATAATAGCCCTGAGCACCGAGTCCCTAGATGGCAAATTGACTTTCAAAGTGTCTTAAGGGAACAATTCAATTGTAAGGTCACACATTTACAATCAGGCGTACGATGCTGGGTACTTGTGGTCATAAAGTGTAGACATCATTTCTAATGCCTAAACAAGCAATTTGTTAATGCTATGATAAATAAATATTACTTTTTCCAGTGGGGTACGATTAACCCCATACCTATGTAAGAATAGCAATTTGTTTTAATTTAAATTGAGCAGAGGAAGAAGGAAAAGGCTTTATTTTTTTATGGTACTTATGGATGTGTGTGTATCTGTTACATAGTTACATAGCTGAAAAGAGACTTGCGTCCATCAAGTTCAGCCTTCCTCACATTAGTTTTTTTTGCTGTTGATCCAAAAGAAGAAAAAAAAACAGTTTGAAGCACTTCCAATTTTGCAACAAACTAGGAAAAAAATTCCTTCTTGATCCCAGAATGGCAGTCAGATTTATCCTTGGATCAAGTAGCTATTACCCTACATTGAAAGATTATGTCCTTGAATATTCTGTTTTTGCAAGTATGCATCTAGTTGCTGTTTGAACATCTGTATGGACTCTGATAAAGCCACTTCTTCAGGCAGAGAATTCCACATCCTTATTGTTCTTACAGTAAAAAAACTTTTCTTTGCTTTAGACTTAATCTCCTTTATTTCTGTCTAAACGCATGACCTTGTGACTATGTAAAGTCCGGTTTGTGGATAGATTTCAACACAAAATATACTATATATCATTTTTAAAGGATATATAGGGCTTTCTTTTGATACTCTACATGTATACAAAATAGAATAAAATATTTTAAAAAATGAAAGCAAAATTAAAAAACACATTTTTGTTTCAGTATTACACTTAATATTTTTTACACACTAAAGAAAACAAACTCAAAATAGATTCATTAATTAGTTCTGATCGTTAAAATGCTCAATATGTCTAGGATTAAAATTCATTTTTAGAAGTTATAAAATAAATATTGCAAGGAGTGAATAAAGGCTTTACAGCTAACAAATTTCAAATTTGGCATGCTGAGATTATAACTTTTATAGTAGTCACAGAATCCATAACCACTAAACAAAAGTATATTTGTAGAAAGTGCATCCAATAGGCTATGCAACTAATTGCATTTTGAAACTTTTCATTTAACCATTTTATCACAAAATTAATTAGTTACTTTTTCGGTTTCTTTTTCCACGCACATTTTATTTTGGGGAAATTTCACAAGAATATGCATGTTCCACTTCCACTACTGCAAACACAATATATTTGCATTCTGCTACAGATCTCAAGTACAATGAAACCCAACATTTTCCCCTATTCCTACTCCCAATCCTTCCCCCTAATCTTGCCAATGGTAGGGGCTAGAGAAGGACACTAGGTCCCTTTGTTTAATAGCCCCAACTCACGGGACACAGATGAGAGTACAGGGGGGGCACTATTCTCCCCTTAGTTAATTGATTTAATACTTGCCCCATCATGGGGGACCTGTGCCAGGTATTGTATTAGTAACTGGGCAGTAATAGCTGCCCAGTCACTAGTCTTTTTTTATAACAGTGAGCAGCCACAGGCTATTTAGTAGACATGCCCCTACTTGAGGCATGGCAGGAAGAGGCAGGAGGGAGGATTTAACCTCCTTTGTAATAATATAGGTGTCATATTGACACCCAAAGAGTCATGGAAGACAAGGGGGGATTTAAGAAG